CCTGTTAAATCAAGAATAGAATTTAAAATCCTTCTTCTCACATATAAAGCCTTAAATGGCCAAGCTCCATCTTATATCAGAGATCTGATTGTTCCTTATGTTCCTAACAGAGCACTTCGCTCTCAATCTGCAGGTTTACTAGTGGTTCCTAGAATTTCTAAAAGTAGAATGGGAGGCAGATCTTTTAGTTATCAGGCTCCTCTCCTGTGGAACCAACTACCAGTTTTAGTCCGTGAGGCAGACACCCTGTCTACTTTTAAGGCTAGGCTTAAAACTTTCATTTTTGATAAAGCTTATAGTTAGGGTGGCTCAGGTTATCCTGAGCTATCTCTATAGTTATGCTGCTATAGGCTTAGACTTTTGGAGGACATAGGGACCCCCATTTCATCATTCTGCTTCATTCTCTCTCTGTTCTCCTATTCTGCAGAATCTGTTAGTTCAATCTCTAACCTTCTGCTCTCTCTGCTTTTCCTCAGAGTAGCTTTGCCTCGTCTGTTCCTGTTTGGCTGTGACGTCATCCTGGAAAAAAAACATCAGCTGTGCTGCTTCTATCAACACCCTTGTTAATAGATGTTGGAGATCGGCCTGTTTTCCAGTGTGGTCCTGTTTCTCTGACCGTGACTGAGTGGATGTGCTCTCTTCGTCCTCTGGCATGGGAGCTGCCTTGGAGCTCGTCTGCCTGGCTGTGTGTTTCCTGGACGGGGCCGCCTTTTACAGCTGCTTTTTGTATCTCTGCTTCTGTCTCCTTGAACCCCAGTCGGCCTCAGCAGATGGCCGCTCACACTGAGCCTGGTTCTGCTGGAGGTTTCTTCCTGTTAAAAGGGAGTTTTTCCTCTCCACTGTCGCTACAAGCATGCTTAGTGTGGGGGATTGTATTTGAGTCAATGAGTCAATGCAATCAACTGGTTTTCCTTAGATAGAAAACTTTGTATCAATTTGACTGTATGATCTGGTTGAACTGTAAAGTGCCTTGAGATGACATGTGTTGTGAATTTGGCGCTATATAAATAAACTGAATTGAATTGAATTGAATTAAACTCTGTTAAACTTTTACAAACTGTTTCAGTCTCGTGGTGTTCTGCATAATTGGGTCACTCCAGTGTACCAATCATGACAAAGAGGAATTGACGCTGAGCATTTAAAATATTAACTTCACTATACATGTTGTACATTTGGGCTGTAGTTACTCTGTGTAGCACGTTTCATGTATTTTATAAAAAAAAAATATTAATCGATCATTTAGATAATCGTCAACTAATTCATTAATTGATTGATCATTACCTGCAGTATAGAGACTCTAAAACGTAATCTGAATATAAAAAAAATGCTTATAGCTACAGAACAAGCCACTTACAGCAGTAATTATACCAAGATTATATAATATATAAACCTTTTGCATTTAAGATAAAAAAAAAATATTTTTGTCTGTCAATATTCTTCTTCCAGAACTCCTCAAGAAGAACAGTTTTAGTTTCATCGGGGTATCTGTCGTAAAAAATATTCTTTAAGGAACCTTTGGGTATCCGATTTTTAATTGAAAAAAATTATTGACAGATTAATCGATTTGCAAAATAATTCTTAGTTGCAGCCCTATTTATTGTAACATTCCGAACACATCTATTACATAATACATCTGTAGTGGAGATAACAGCCAACTTAACAAATATGCTAATCAGTAACAGGTATACCAAAATTCATGTTGCATCATTTGTGAGCTTATAAAAAAAATCACAAAATCCAATTATTCATACTGAACTAAATACTGATACTAAAATCTTACCTGAGGCTGCTTCTCTATCAACCTGTGCTGCAACATCAACACTCATTGTTTGATTTCCCTAAATTCAGCCATAATACAAATTGATACGAATATTGTGTATAAATAAAAGAGCTGCTCCTTAATTTGTTATTAAAATTATTTAGACATAATCTTAATGCCAACTGAGCTACAGCATGCCCTACTGCACAGTACCAGAAACAACATAAATTCCGCTTATAAAGAAAGAATTGACATTTACACTTGGTCTTTGAAAATTCATGATGTCAGATTAAACTGTGATAAGTTATCACAAACTGTGATAAGTGACCAAACATCCGTATTTCCTGGGACATATCCGTATTTCACGTCCTGTCCCGGGCGTTCCAGATTTTTTTTTAGAAAGTGAGGAAATGTCCTGAATTTTTAAATTACCTTAATTGAACCATTAAATTCACAGGCGCTAGGGCACTGCGCAAGACACTGCATGTGATGTAATCCCTGAGCCGCGTCAGTGCTGGCAGCCCTGTTCTTAATCAGAATATAGATTGCGTGGCTGTCAGTACGCCAACAACATGCAAAAGCGCAAATGTATGTTTACCGACGATTCACAAAAGAGTTTCCCCGCTTTCAGACGGGGTCGAGACAAACGGGAGGCCTTGTGCACAGTGTGCCAAGCAGGCACATATGTCTCGGTGTCCAATGGACGTGTAAGGGATCTGAAAAGCCACCTGGACACCGAAAGTAAAGATAGTCTATTGATATGTTTGTTCGTTTTTGGTACATTTTGAATAATTTTTGCTACACAAGAGGTATTTTTTGTTAATTAGCTCATTTGTTAATTTCTTTTTTCCAATAGCCTACAGAACAGACATTATTTCGTTCATTGCTGAGGCTGAGTATCATCTGTTATTGGGAGTTGAGAGTTATTGTTAACTTTTATTGTTAAGTGAGGGATGTTTAGATGAGACATTATTTCTTTCATTGTGCTATTCATTCATTACAGGAATTGTTAAGCATTTTTAATAAATACATTTTGATTGAAATTATCATTTGTTATTGGAGTTATTGCTGTTGACTTTTACTGAAAAGCATTTTTTAACAAATCAACTGTAAATATCATGTTATTGTAGGATTACGTAGGTCTATGTTAAGTGAGTGCATGCCACAGACATATCTATGAATGGGAACAGAGATCCCAACCCCCAGCCCCCCCCGCTACAAGGTGTCCTGGTTTTCCCAAATGAAAATATGGTCACTCTATATAACCGCTTCAGTGGTATAATATCTGTAGTGAATAAGGAGCAGATATTCTGGTATGTATTTAAATGGTTGTAGCTAGAACCTAACAAAACATTGATTGAAATGCAAAGCAGTAGAAACAGACATTGCAACATTGCTAGTGAGAAGAAATCCAAAAAAAAAAACTAAGACAGAAAGAATTGACAATCTAAAGCAGCCAACTTTGCTACAGGCCATGTCTTGCAGTGAGAATACTAACATGGTTAACACAGCTAACTTTGAAAGCCACATATTGGAGAAACAGGAGAACCAACAAAAAGAAAACAATGAAAGACAAGCCAATTTCTAAGAAGTTTAGAGAACAAAATTCAAAAGCTGAAAAGTGTGTTCAGACAATTTGAAAAGAGGTCATCAGGAGTGGAAGGCCATAAAAGAAACAATGAAGATACAACACAGAGGCATGAGAGAGACACACTTTTCCATGAGATAGAAATTAGATACTTGCTGAACAGAAACATTTATTTGTCAGCCAGATGTAAAGATCTTTAAAAATGATTAGGGATTACCCTGGAGGAGCTGTCAGGAACCTGAGGTACCACTGGACTGGTACTGTAACAAGCAATAAGACACTTAAGTCTCCGTACGTTGTGTAGAAGTTATCCATAATTGTTATGTATTGATGTAATCTGTTAGTTTAATGTTGAGATTGGCTTTGGGCTATTATAAAATTAAGGCAAACATTGAGTTATATGCCGGACAAAGAGGTTTAAAACACAAAACTATGAAAAAAAAGAATATCGCTGATGATATTTTCTAAATTGATCACACGATCACCTCTATTCCCGCACCGTATAATAACTAATTGAATATAGCTTTGTGTTGTGATACAAGGTTAATACAAATAATTCAGAAACCATGATGATTAGCAGCAAATGCTCCATAGAATTTGATAATCTGGTCATTTTCAGTAAATTTACCAATCGAATCCATTACCTTGGATCAACCTGATTCCTAAAGCAATACAGCTCTTTTATGCAGTAGAGAAAAACTAACAACCAATGTTAGAAAATACCTGAGTAAGTGGGCTGTTCTATCGTTTTGTTTTTTTAGGTAGACTAGATTCTGTAAGATTTTTATTTCTAGTTTTAGTGACACGATCCACATTCAAAAACATCTTGAAAAGTTAATATCTGAATATATGTCGCAAAATTTAAATCGTCAATGATACGATTAAAAATAAGGATTTTGTTATAACAGTCTAATTCAACCTTGATTACAGTGTTGAATTTGGAATTCACAGCATTTGCTATCCAGCTGTATCTGCATGTTCAAAGACCACAGAGCTCCATGTCAAACATATGGCAAAGCATGACCAGTTTAGAGGACTGCTTCTCAAGGTTTTTTGTCTCAGGCAGGAGTTTCATAAAGCCGTGACTTAAGTATTGGTAGTCTTGAATTAACTTTCCTGTTTTGCCTTGTTTATGAATAAATGTGTTATGGACAAACTAGGGCAAAAAAGGGCCTTACAATGGTTATGTAATTCAAAACAGGAGTTTGATAAAGCTGTTAAAAGCACAGTAGCATTAATTCAACAATATATTGTTTTAGCAGTCAACCTAGGTTTTTATTGTACATATGTTTATGGTGATAGTTTTGTGACCAGCATGCAAGTACAAGAACTCTGGTAGGATTTTATTTGCCATACACAGCCGCATCTTTTTCTAGCCCTGCCTCCATCCGTGGCAAAAAAAAAAGATAAAACAGAAAAAAGCACATTTGATCAAACATCAGCATGTTATGTACATACATTTTGACATTCAAAGTATTTTATTGCTGAAAGACCAATCAGACCGGTAGAAAAGAGCCCTTTGCTAAAGAAACAGTTAAACATCATGCAATGAATTAATGTAACTGAATATTACTTGAGCTGTTTGGGCTTAAGTGGTTTTCAATTTAAAATTTCCAACAATTAGGCCATGTGGTTATATTCAAATCATAGATGTCATGGCCCTGATTGTGAAGGTCCAGTGATATCAGTGGTGTCCCTAAGCCCATTGATGCTCTGCTCTGACAGAGGATAGTCCACTGATGGAATATCTATTCCTGTCATGTTTGGCTCATGGACAGTGATGTCATCATCCTCATCCTGTATGTCCTAGGAACAAATCATAAGTGATGGTGGAGTAAATACCAAAATAACTTTAAAGGGAAAATAATTATAAATAAACTGATAAAGATCACCAACAATCAAATCAGAAATGTAAGGCTTTATTGTGACTTATGTGATCTTTATATGTAGATTGTGCAAGTATACATTGTAGGCCAAATACCCATGAGGGGCATATCTGCCTAAAAGTTGCCTTTGCCATTTTCTAGCTCTGCTTGTTGGGGAGCAGGAAGTGGTTCCTGGAGGAGTCCTCCTGTCCATAGCTGTTGTTGAGGGAGATTTTGCTTTTTCCTTAAATGATGATAATCCAAGCCCAACTTATAGGGATCCAAATCTGCTTTCAGACGTGGGAGAAAAACACATTAAGAACAAAACATCTGGATTGCGTCACAAGGATCTAGAAGTATTTCCTCTTCTAGACTGTGAAGGGTTTTACCATAAACAATCGAAACACACATCCAGATGTCCCGCCACAAGCGCTCCACTCTGTACAAGAGAAAAATGCATAGGATGAGTAAAAATAAGGTTATCAGGAAATGCCCAATGCGAAAGATTAAAATACCTTTTGTTCCGAACACTTTTTCCAGACAGGAAACTTCCATTTCCACAGCCTCTGACAGCAAACATGCATCTTGTGATGCCAACATTTTCCACTTCATGGTCTCCTTGCACTCTGAAATGTAGACAAGTTATCAGTATAGAGGGACAGATATTTTGAATTATATAAATTCAGCAGTAGATGCAATGCATGAACATTTTTAATTTCTAAGAAAAACAAAATAATTTGATGGCATATAAAAAATGTACAATGTTTTATTTTTTCATGCTCATATTGGAGTGGCTCATAAAAATATTTTAATCCAACTGTTTAAAGTGCAAAGACTGATTGTAAATGTTGAACTAACCAACAACTTGTTAAAAAATCTAGTAACCATTGGTGTGAACAATATGCAAACTAACACAGCGTAATGAAGATGTGTGGTTGCATTGGATAACCCATAATTCAACAATACAATATTTCAGAGGGAGAGAGTTAACACGGCACCCAAATATAAGGAGTTGGCAAATTAATTTTGTAGAGTATTTGATTGACATGAGTTATCTATTTTCAAAATGTGCAGTGTGTTTGACATATGCTGCTGTCTTGTAGACGACCAATGTATGCAAAAATATACTAAAATGCATTATCAAATTTCTATTGCTGAAGGCCATGAAAAATAAATTATTCATAGCAATCTCACCTCAGCAGATTGCCATACTTTTGTGTAGACTCCTGGAAGAAACCAAATGCAGTGGACACTTTGTTGTTGGGAGCAACTAAATACAGTATCTGCAGCACAGAAATTGGATTTTAAATATGTTAAATGAATACATATAGAGAATATTGATACAACAGAAGAAATTGGAAATATTTATGTACATCTGAAGAAATTACACCATAATATTTGATCATTTGAAAGACATCCATCCTTCTGTCTTGAAATAGTAACCGTCTTGAAACTAGATAAAGTGCTAGTTTATAGCATTTGTAGTCATAAAATTGTTGAAATTTTGACCCATGAATCGTGTTTGGTACAGTATTTATTTGTGACTTTGGTGCGGTTCTCAAATCACCTTTGACATTGGCCAAAAAATTACGTTTATTTCTCAAAAAAATTTGTATAAATACCAAAACACAATGACTTAATTGCAAAATCCTCTCTCGTTCTTTAAACTAGTAGTTCGTTTTGAAACCCGCAGCACACGAGCAATCCCGCGTTCATCCTTGTTTAAAATAAATGCTTTGAACTTTCCCACTGCCTGTCTTGCCCTGAATTTTGGGTCTAACGTTCTGAGTTAATTAACACAATAGAACAGGGGTCTTCAACATTTTCCAGGCAAAGGACCCCCAAACCGGGCTGGGACTGGGAACGATTTTTCGGCCTTGGCATGTTTCCATCTACACCGCCCCACTTAAAATACTCAAACATAAATTCGCCAAGTATAAGAGGAACATCGTACTTTGGTTTAAAGAAAGCATTTTAGTTTTATTATAATTTAGATTTTGCAAGGATTTTACAGTTTGAAGAAATAGAAAATTACACTATATGCCAATGAAGGCCTATTTATACTGCATGCATCACATAGATAGTTAATATTGTATTACTTCTTGAGCTCTTTGAGTTATTTACTGTCATAGGTAGGTGCTTCGGCCAGAGAGTGTTGAGGCTGGTATTATTTAAGGAGGGCTGGCCCTCGCACGCTGAAATTAGGACCAAATGCCCAGTATCAAAGATTACTATTCCGAGTCTGCCCCAAACTGATTGGGAGATGGAGCGGGGACCCCCTAATATTATATATATGGTATGAAATAGTGTTATATTAAACTGGTCCTATAGTCACTCTATTACATATGGAGTAATTTAACACAAGTAATTTTGCCCTGGGATTATTAAAGTATTTCTGATTCTGATTCCTTGTTGATGGGACAGGTGTTGTGAATGAAACGGTGCCCAGCTTGAAAGAGATCCTGTGTGTCGCTTAATGTGTGCATTGATGACTGAAAGACATCTTCTGCCTCCATTTATCTGTTTATTACAGTGTGTTGAATTCATGTTAATGTGGATTTAAAGACATTTCAATTAGTGGAAAATATCACAGAGGGGAATATTTAAAAAAAAGTCTAATCAACTGGAACTTTCATGACCCCCATGCAGTACCTCCGTGGACCCCCCAGGGGTCGCAGACCCCCTGTTGAAGACCTCCGCTCTAGAAGGTTGTAATGTTGTAAACTATGCATAAAGACAAGATCAGTGGTACAACATTCATAAAGTTTAGTTTTTCTTTTACTGTAAATTTTTTAAGACTATGTCATTATGATACAAACAAGAAAACACTGCTGCATGACTGTGTAGGACAACGATTGTGACAAAATGATTTAAGTTTGGACAAGTAGTTTTGAGAATTTGAATTTTATTCTAAGAAAAGCAAATAAAAAGCCAATAAGATAACCTTTAATAGGAAACATTTAATAGTCTAGGACAAATGTCTGATATGAGAAGAATGTCCTAACTAAACAGCTATAAGCTGTCAGTAATAAGGAAAACACATACTTTTCTGGAATGGCCATCTAGTCCTCCAAATATCACCAGACAATATCTGTAAAGAGAAAATAAGAAATCACACTGAAGGATAATTGATTTTAATAATGTATTGCATGATTAAGATTATGTTGACAAGACGATTTTACTACACCTTTTGATTTTATGATTAGTGTCTATGTGAAGCAGGTGAAGAGAACCGGGAACCGAATAAGTTCTTCTGGCAACACATCCAAGTCCTGCCATTCTTTTCACCACACCACCAGAGTCGAAACGATGCATTGATGTTGAAACTCTGTTCCACTGTACATGGTGGCCCATGAATTGGAGAATCCCTTTTGTCACCCCAAACCAAATATTAGGAATTATGGCTTTTATGGGCCAGAATAAACTGTCCAGCTCTTCATCAGTCAGGGTGCTATAACACTGCTTTATTGGGATCCCATTTTCATGCAAACACCTATTCACTGTCTTTAGAGATATACACAGAATGGGTGGAACTTCTGATACTGAAAAGGATATTTTTGGAGAAGTCTGAAGTTGCTGAGAAGGTACCATATACTTTGGCTGCTCAAGTTCTTCCTGTGAGAGAGGTAGATGGGAAGGAATGAAATCCTCTGCATGTTCCCCATTAACAAGAGCTGCCAGCACAGCAGGTCCATGAACTACATCAAAAGGCATCTGAAAATGATTCATGGGTGATCTGAAGAGAAGGACGTCATGGTTTACAAGAAACTGGGGACAGTTCATATCAAGAGGTGGTCGCTGGATGACCTGGGCAAATTTTGAAATAGGTAGATGCAGAGAGCCCCTTTTTAGCTGATCCTGTCATGGAATAAAGAATAAATAAAAAAGTATATAATTTGAAATGAGAGACATATTGTGTTAAGATGTGTAAAAGGTATCAATAGACTTTGAGACTATCAATGGCAGCATAAAGTAGCAGCCATTGGAATGACCCACTCCTTCTCCTGGACGTGCATATTTTTTTACTCTGACTCCACCCTTTCACTGAATTACAGGGTCTGGAGATGTCTTTTTTCTTCTGATCTTAATGTCCACAAATCATAACAGAAAAGATATTTCAGTATAAAGATTGATGTTTAAAAAGTGGACCAGTCAAGGACCCATCAAGAAAAGTGGGGACATTTTGAATGGCTACTATTGTAATTGCAAAGAAAACTTCTATTTGCTTTGTGTGAATTTCTAAAGCCAACAGAAAATAAGATATGAGTCATTATAAAATGCTTTTCTTGGCTGCTTATGTGATCTCGTTGCACGTGTTGTTCACTTTCCTGTAAACAATGTTATTTCTAGTATTTAGGCTGATATGTTAAGGTTGTACAATTTCAAAAAACTAAACCTTTAATATATAGAAGAGTCAATGATAACTAAGTGCCTTTTATATACAATATTTGCTCTGCATGTGTTAGAACAGCAACAAAGTCATGTTAAAAATAGCAAACAATAAAAGAGGGGTAATCCAGACCTGGCTTAAATGAAGAGGATGCGGTTTTCTTTTTTTTTTTTTCTTTCCGGTTTTCTACTCCTGATGATACCGGTAACTTTATCCAAAGAGCGATCCATAGGGAAAAAGATGGAGCAACTTTCCTGTTTTGTCAAATATGACAGATACTTTAAAGAGCCAATCTAACATTCTTTGTGGAATCTGGCTTATGGAGAATGACAGCATTGCCGACCTGAATTATACTGTGGTGCGCTATGACAGAGACCCCAAATGCACGGGCAAAGCACTGGAGGTGGATTATGCATGTTTGTGGCAAACAGCCGGGTATCCAATGTAATGGTATGTGAAGCTGACTGCTTTAACCACTCTGAGATCCTGACTTTGTCATTCTATGTACTTTTATCTTCCTACGGATGTTGGACAGGTTCTGCTCTGTGTAG